TTCTATCAACTTTGAATTGGAAATTTGGATCACCTAGGTTCTCCTGTATCTATTTAAATGAAGGGAAAAGAATTCCACCAAGGGGATTGCAACTTACAGAATTTGGGAATAAAGCCTCTTAGTATTAAACTTCAAGGTGTGGTCCCTGCCTCTCCCCTGTCCTCTTCATTCAAGGACTTTGGGGATTTGCTCCGGTGGCTGGTGGATAGGTTTACTGTCCCCTTTCCACAGGCTTGGAGTTAGCACTGACATTACAATTTCATAATCCCAGCCACCAACACCTCCTGCCTCTTACCCTAGAGCCAGTCTGTTCTTGTTAACAGTAAGAATCCTGTGTTCCCACTTCAGTGACACCTGAATTGTTTGTTTTTAAATTGTCTTTAAGGAGGAAGGGCCCCATTGAGGGGTAAACTTGTAATAAATTGGAATTTCAAATAAACATTATGTACTTGTGTTTATAAAGAAAAAACAATGCTGGTGACTCTTTCTTTGTGCTCCTTGGGGTGCTAGTGGATAGTATATAGTCTGAGTCCTCAGTTTTCCTACTGAGTTTTGGAACCAGTTATTCCTCAGCATTGAGAGGACCTTTGACTTAGTCTTTTTTTTTTAATGTTTTTATTTATTTGGGAGAGGGAGAGAGGAATGGAAACATCAATGATGAGAGAATCATTGATCGGCTGCCTCCTGCATGCCCCCTACTGGGGGTCGAGCCTGCAACCCTGGGAATGTGCCCTGACCGGGAATCGACTCCTGGTTCATGGGTCGACCCTCAACCATCTGAGCCACACCGGCCGGGCTGACTTAGCCTTTTTAACCACAGGTTAGAGCCAGCTTCTCATTTCCTTGCTTCCAGGAGACATTTCTGATGACCCGGGTACAAAGTAAGACCATCGTTTTCCCTGGCCTTGTCTCTGTCCGAAACCCCCCAACATTTTATTTGAAATTACTAAGAATTAGAGGAAATTATTTTTTTAAGTCTTCACTATAGAAATTTATGTAGATTTTTAGTTAATTTTGGGGAAACTCCTGACATTTTAAAAACTTTCTGGGAGTCCTGGTCAGTGTGCTAAGTGGTTAGAGCATCAGCCTGCGCAGGGAAGGGTCTTGGGTTTGATTCCTGGTCAAGGGCACGTACCTGGGTTGTGGGCTCACTCCCCACCCTCAGTCGGGGCATGTGTAGGAGGCAACCAGTTGATGTGTCTCTTTCACATTGATGTTTCTCCCTCCCACTCTGGAAAACAATGGAAAAAATATCCTTGGATGAGGATTTAAAAAAAAAAACTTACAAGGAAAATTTCAAACACAAAAAGAGTAAATATATAATGGATTCTCATGTACTCAGCTTCAACAATTCTAACATGTAGCCAATCTTGTTTTCTCTGTACTTTTTTTTATGCTGGAAGTTTTATAAAGTCCAAGTGGTTGATTCAGGTAGTCACCGCTGGGTGGCAGCTTACCTATGGACTTCAAAGGTTTGTAGAGCCACTGCATGCTCCCATTTATTGAGAAAAGAAACTACCAATTCCTGACCACCTGAACCCAAGCCCTGGGTGTGGGTTCTGCCATTGACTTATTGTGTGGCCTTGCTGAATGCGGGCTCGAGCCAGGCCTGCCCTGAGCACTTGGGGATTTTCCGTCCTGCAGGGGAGGAAGCAGTTTGCCCCAAGGTCAGATTGGTTTGATCAGCCCTCAGGCTCTGGAGAAGGGGGCTGTGTTACCTGTGAGCATTTTCTACACACAGTTGGACTCCCACCTCATGTGTATGCAGTTCTGTCCCTCAGGCAGGTTCCTTAGGCCACACTAGGATAGTGCTGTTGGGACCATGGGTCTGTATCCTGGTCCTGCCCAACCTTGAGAAGCACTCTTTCTCCCTACTTCTTCCCCGGGGGTGTGACCTTGGGGGAGCCACCTAATTTTGGTTGAGTATTATAAAGGGGGACAAAAACTTACCCTTTGTTGTTAATTCTCACATGATATATTTTCCCATTGCTTTTCAGAGAGTGGAAGGGTGGGGAAAGAGAAGCATCAATGTGAGAGACACATCACTGGTTGCTTCCTTCATGTGCTCTGCCCCAGGTCAGGGAGGGAACCGGGAATCCAAGTACGTGCTCTTGACCCAGAATTAAATCCTGGACCCTTCGGTGCACCAGCCAAAGCTCCAACACAGCCATACCAGCCAGGGCGAGAACTTTTATTCTTGAAGATGGGTATGAATCATTACTTCTGAGAACCAACTAAGGCCTCTCCCTCATCCTGACTTCTTTTTCCTCAAACCCTGTCTCTGGGGAGGAGGTACAGTCAGGGGTGGCAGTGAGGTGGGGTCTGGATTCCAAAGCCACCACTTGGGCAGGGAGCCAGGGTCTCTTTGGCAGGGGTGAGAAAACTCAGGGGAGGTAGAAAGAGGTTTGCCCTTCTGTTAACAGCTTCCATTCTTGCCCAGGGCCTTGAGGCCTTTTTTACACCCAGGACTGCTCTGGAATGCTGGGACTTTCCCTTTCAGGGTAGAACTGATAGCAGCTACTGACCACCGAGGCAGGTCAATCTGACCTCCTTGCTGACTCCTGTGAACTGACCTAAGAAGTTCCCTTAACTCAGGCTCTCCCAGCCACAAGTTCAGACTGACGTGCTGTGGTGCTCTGAAGACCCACCTGCTGGGCCACCAGGGCCACTGAGGGGAGGGGCTGGAGGCACACAATGAACAGTCTAGCAGGTGTTGATTTCTGAGGCATTTTGGGGGGCTCTGGAATTACTTGTCTTGGGGTGTGGAGAGACCCTGCTTTGGGAGGGGCTTCTCTGGACAAAACAACCCCAGGTTACAACATTTGCTGTTTCCCTGGGACGTGGTGGTGGTGGAGGAAGTCACAAAAGTTCTGGAGGCTGCAGACCACCTACCTGTCTGTGTGAGGAGCCAGCCAAGTCCTCCACTTTCCCCTATCTGTAAAGTGGGGAGAGGGGGACCAAATTGAGGACTTCTGTCAGAGGTCTTTAATAACTGTTTCCTTCTTCTCCTCTAGGGTCTGGGACATTTCTATAGTGTCTCCCAGTGCTGAGAAGCCTTGGCTGGCAAGGTCCATCCTCCCTCCCTCCCAAGTACTGGCCCATGTGAACCATCTCAGGCTCAAAGCAGACAGAGCCCCCTTGGGGCTGGTCCTGACTACACCTCCCCCTCAGTCCCCACCCGCCTCCTAGTTGTTCTGGAAGCCAGTCTGGTTTCTGCTGAGTGAAACATAGCCAAGGACCCCCCTCCCTTGTCCAATGACTGGCAAGGAATAGGGCGAACTGGTGCCATTTTAATGCTAATCCTTCCCTCCACCCTTCACATTTGCCTTTTTCTTACCATCTCCGGAATCCTTTTGCTCCAGCTGCCCTTCCAGTGCAGGCCCTTTAGCAGCTTCAGCTCCACCCGCTCCCTGCAGACCTGGCCAATAAGCCCAGCTTGGTGCAGCCACTGCCCCTCCCACTCTGAACTTGGGCTCCTGTCACTTTCAATAAGCTCATCCTGTCTCACTCAAGGACCCTCACAGGGAGAGTTACAAGGTGTTACGGTCATTTGGCTTCATTGATCGAAGAAGGCACAGGGACCTACTGTGTGCTCTGTGAAAAGGGAAGGATTAAGATGGGGAAGGCATTCCACATGTAAGAGACACAGAAGCAAAAAGGCACAAGGGTTGCAAAATTCCCCCAGAGGTCAGTACTGTTATATGTGATGAGGGACAGCCCTAAACCCATCTCAACTCCTGGTGGAGCTGTCGTTTTTCATCTGGTTTCTCTCTTGTCCTGTGAGATGGGTGGTTGGTGCAGGGCAAGAACTCTGTCCTGAGAGGCTCTGGGTTTGGGGGGCTGACCCCTACCACTGAAATGAAGCTACTGACCTTGGGCCTCCCCTTGGCTCCAAAGTGAGGCCGGCAGCGGAACTAGATCCTTGGGGCCTCCTGGCAGTGACAATGAATGCCACTGTGCCATACACCCAGGGACAGTAACCAAGACCCTCACATCGCTCGAGGTGAGGGTCACAGTGGCCACAGCTGAGGCCATGATGGGGCCCTGTAGTCTAATCCCAAGCTGATGGGGGTCCCATGGACCTTTTCCTAGCCCCTGGTATCCATGCATACTGCCTTGTACCTGCCCAATTTATTATTGCTGCTCCCGTACCTCAAATCTTTCCACAGCTTCTTAGGAGCTGAAGGCCCATTTCCCACTATACTCGGGCTCCCATCTCTGTGTCCATGTCTGCTACCAAGAGGCCCATATACCAGTCTAGTCCCATCTCTACTCCACCCAGAGAGAGCCCCAGGGCCCCAGCTAGTGAAGTGGGTGCACTGACAATCTTCAAAGGCAATACGGATGGCCAGACACCAGCCTCAGACCCCAGGGAAGACAGCAGGCTGGGCTACAGGAGGCAGTAGGAGCAGGGCCTGAAGCTCTGAGAACCTTTGAGATAGACCGATGGCCTCATTTTCTACACAAATGAAAGCAGTCTGCAAAAAGGAAGACTTACTAAACACAACCCCCACATAGGCTAGATTCTCCAGGGCCAGAGATGAGGATGTCATCTTGGGGGATTCCCTGAGTATCCCAGCAGGTGGGCATCCCAGCCTCACTTTGGGAAGTAGGAACCCAGGCCTCAGAAATAGGCAAGCAGGTTGCCAAAAGGAGCAAAGACAGGCAAAAGGGAAACACACACACACACACACACACACACACACACACACACCACACACACACACACACACACACACGCTGCCAAAAGGAGCAAAGACAGGCAAAAGGGAAACACACACACACACACACACACACACACACACACACCACACACACACACACACGCAGACTCTGAGACTCTTGCAAAACACAGCTGTTCCATGGGGGACATTCTCCTGATTGGTGGGGAGCCAGAGAACAGGGCAGGGACCCACCCCAGCTCTGCTCACAAAGGAGATTCCTGCAGAGCCCCCCACCCTCCTACCTCCCACCTTCCCAGCCCAGAGAGGACTCAGGGGTGCCACATGGGGGTTTATTCCAGTCACAGCTTCCAGAGAAACTCAACAATAAATTACATCATTAAATAAACTCCCTGCTGGACCATGCCCCCTCCTGCCCCTTCTCCACATGCTCCCTTGGGACACTGTGGGGACTTAGCCAGGCCACCCCCTGCTTTAGGCCACAGGGGAGTGAGCCTCACTGGGTCCTCACATGTGAGGGTTGAAGGAGAGTCTCCCTGCCCTGGTCCTCAGCCCCCTTGCACTCACTTGCCTGACCTTGACAGCTGGGCAGCTGCTAGTCAGCTGTCTCCTCCAGAGGGGGAGGGGGGGTAGAGGAGGGGGCAACAGCCGCCCTGAGTAGGCCTGTGTACCTAGAGGTGTGTGGGGTTCTCCAGAGAGGGGTCCGTCTTAGTCATGTGCAAGACCACGGTGGGAGCTTTATAGTGGCAGTGGGTGCCACGGCCATAACCTCCTGGGGCCCGGCAGGCCTTTGCCCGGGCCCGGCCAGCTGCCATCTTGCGGTGACACAGGCTCTGCCAGGTCTGGAACGTCTTGGAGCTCCAGACCCAGACACCGCTGGTTATGCCCACCACCAGCGACATGAAGATTTTTAGCATAAAGACAGCCACAGTGGGCACTGAGCCCCCTTGCAGCGAGCAGTCCCTCCGGCCACCCGGCACACTGGCTGGGGAACACAGCTGCTCTGTTGCCCGAAGGCGCCAGAAGTCCATGTTGAGGCGCTCATAGACGTAGCACACAATGACGCAGGTGGCAGGCACCGTGTACAGGATGGAGAAGACCCCTATCTTGACCATGAGCTTCTCCAGCTTCTCTGTGTTGGTGCCGCCTGTCTTCATGATCTTGCGGATGTGGAAGAGGGCCACGAAGCCAGTCAGGAGGAAGCTGGTGCCCAGCACCAAGTAGCAGGAGAGGGGCACCAGCACGAAGCCTGTGAGCGCGGCCGCGTCCATGCTGGCCACGTAGCAGAGCCCGGTCAGCTCGTCCCCGGCTACCTTGCGCAGCGTCAGGATCACGATGGTCTTCAGGGCCGGCAGGCCCCAGGCCGCCAAGTGGAAGTAGCTGCCGTGGGCCTCGATCGCCTCGTGGCCCCATTTCTTGCCGGCTGCCAGGAACCAGGTGAGCGTCAGCACGACCCACCACAGGGAGCTGGCCATGCCGAAGTAGTAGAGCAGCAAGAAGACGAGGGTGCAGCCCGTGTTCTCCAGGCCCTCCTGGATCACATAGAGCGCGCCCGCCTCCTGGTCGCAGGCCACGCTCTGGGCCCCGGCCACCGCACGGATGAGGAAGGCCAGCGAATAGACGTTGTAGCACATGGAGAGGAAGATGATGGGGCGCTCGGGGTACTGGAAGCGGTGAGGCTCCAGCAGGAAGGTGAGGACGGTGAAGGCCGTGGAGAAGAAGCACAGTGCCGACCACACGGCCATCCAGACGAGCGCGAAGTCCTTGTCGCGCCGCGACCAAAACACCTCGACCCCCGGCGCGCAGCGCGGCGCGCAGGAGCGGCTCTTC